GTTAAATTTATAGAAATTATTCCAATTATTGCATAAGTTTTTTGCCATACTTTATTTGCATTCCATCATTAATCACACCTGCTCACTCAATACATTTTAATTGTACATTAAAATCAATTTAAAGTCATATGCCAATTTCAAGAAAAAATGTAGGAATCATATGCTTTCCTATGCATGACATTTGCAACTGGAGGCTAAAATGAAGAAAGTTTTTGAAGTAGCACAAGGAAAGCTCACAGTGAAAGACAACAGTTTTATTTTTATAAAGCATATAAAAATGCAGAAATATGTTGTTTTTAAAAATAAGAGTTTGCTCATTTTCCCAAGGGTCAATGAGGTTCATTTCTCCAGGTGATTTACTTATGTAAATCCTGAGAATTCAAATGAGAATCAGAATTTTGCTTTTTTTTTTTTTAAACACAGGCTTGAACTCTCGACCCTGAGATCAAGACCTGAGCTGAGATCAAGAGTCGGACATTTAACCCAGTGAGCCACCCAGATGTCCCTAGAATCAGAATTTTGAAACTTAGAACTCTCTTGTTTTTTATACATGAGAAAACACAAGTTTAAAATGAAATGGAAAATGTAAACTACCTAAGGCAGTACTTAACACATGGTAAATAAGCAATAAATAGTTCTGGCACTCTTCTGCTTGCCTTGTCAATGGTCAAATGACTAGCCAGTGGCTTATCTGTATGGTTTGTAACATTACTGAACAAGAGGTAGCCTAATTCAATATTTTATATCAAGTATGCCATTTCACAAAGTTGTGGGTAAACTTTTCAATTCACCTATTTTTAATTAAAGTCAGTGTGTATGTATATGCCCTGTGGGCTCAGTCAGGACCACTGCCTGGGAGAGAGCCGCTCATATCACTCCCAGCCATACTCCCATTCTAGTGTTTCAGAATCTCCCACATTCCTAGTGAAATCTGTAGAAATGGAAATCTTTTTTGCTCTGTTTTCACCACCCTCCAACCCTATGGATATAAATTAGTGCAAAAACAGCTAACATCTGCTAAATGACAATTATGTGTCCTCGCTGTGCTAAAATAAAGCCTTACCCAGTTTAATCCTAACAGCTACCCTATAAGGTGAGTTCTAGTCCTATTAGGAAAATTTACCCAAGTGGGGCCCAGAGAGTGAGATGCTGAAGTGTTGTGAGGTGAAGGTCACTGGACATATATAGCCAAGGAAGTAGGAAGCCTGGATGTTGTATGGATCATATGCAGAAGTGGATGAGGAAGTCACTCAGGATGATATAAAGATCTGCAGTAGAGATGGAGACCATGAGCAGGTGGTAAGTCTTCAGTGACCAAGAGGCTTATACAGAAATTCAGTGAGTAGCAAAGAATAAAATGGTTGGGTCAGACGGTAGATGGCATGGACCTCAATGAAGCGGGTAATTAGAAAGGAGAAAGAGGAGGGACTTCAGCCCTGAGAGGGCTGCAAGGAGGCTCTTCAGAGGATAGCTGCTTCAGTAAGAATCAAGGCTCTATGAAGAGGTTTAAGTGCTGAGAAAGGTTGTTAACCACAGAATAAAAGTTCCAGAGGTGACAAGAGGGTTCAGGGAGAAGGAAACCTTTCTTCCTGCTACTTTACTATTCTTCCTCAAAGAATAAGAGCACTGATATAGATAAAAAACGATTAGGTCCAGTGCTAAAACAGGGGAAGTTTTGCTGGGAGGAGTAAAAGGATTATAACTCCAACAAATGCACATTTCTTTCTGCTTGGTAAACTCCAAACCGGTTTTCTAGGCCCTGTCCCCCACCCTTGCCCTTAGAAGGTCCTGTAGGAAACAGGGTGGAGTCCAGAGGAAAAGAGACAGGGCTGTGGCAGCTTAAATCTGCCTATAATCTAGGTAAGTATTTCTTATCCTGAAATCCATAAACTCCTACAGGTCTGAGTATCTTTTGTGAGAATTTCCTAATTTTGTGTTTTCCTTTTAAAGATAATCTGAAGACAAATAGCATAAGCAACCAGACAGCCACCTTATAACAAAGGCCTAATATTTATTTCAATGTCCCTGTGTAATCCAGTAATCAAGCATCAAAATGATACCACTTTGTTGAAGGCTAATGAAAAACAAAAAACAGAGGTTCACCTCAAAGGCAATAATGTATTTTTTGTTAAGTAAAATCCAGTGACATCAGAGCCCACATATATATAACAGTTTTCACAGTATTCATACAAAAAAAGAAAGTGGGGGAGAACTGGGCAAACATGTGATAATTTCAGAATGTTTAACTCAAACAAATGTACCTATCAGTAGAATATTCATAAGAAAATGGAAATTTAGTTTTAGCCAAACACTATTAGTTATCTCATTAAATAAATGTTATTAATTAGAATTTTGGTGGTTTTTATAATCTTTAATTTACATACCTGTTAGGATCTATGGTTGTATAAGAGCTATAAGCATAATGATTTTATACTTTCTTTATATTTATAAATATATCTAAGTAACTATGACAAAAATGATTTAACTCAATCCTTAGGAGTACAAGAATTGTTTTTCTTTAAAAGATAATATATAGGCCTATATTTTCAAGTTTTGAGATCCACTAGTCTGGATTGTGTTCAAGGCAACAAGACCAAGACTCACCTGTAGTTCAGCACAACTTCCCTCATCACAGAAGGGAATAAGATGGGGATCTAGGACCAAAGCCGAGGTCAAGTGTAATCTGTGTTGTATACCTTCTACGTCTATAACATGTATCACTAGCAGAGGAAGGTGGTAAAGTATTGAGCAATTCAGGATCCTAGCCCTCTCACTTTCCTCAGAGACACAACCAACAACAAGGTACATGCATACATGGAATTACTCAAGGTTAGAAATTTCCTCCATTGTGACAAACCCCACAGTTAAATTCAGTCTTCATCTTACAAAATCTCTCAGCAGATATCTCAGTTCTATATAATAACTACCTCCTTGAAATACTTGACTCAAATTGGCTCCCAAGAGACCTTACTCTTCTGATTTCCCTTCTATTTCATTAACTTTTAGTCTCCTATGTTGGCTCTTTCCTGACCTCAAAATGTTGCAATGATTCACAACTCAGTCCTCAGACCAACTCAGTCCTCAGACTCCTCTACCTAGGGGATTTCACCCAATAAAAAGCTTTACCGATACAATGCTGATGATGTACATCTCTAACCCTTGAGATTTAGATTTATCTAAATTTAGATTTAGATTACCTCCTTGAGATTTAGACTCAAATACAAAACTACTACTTGCTATATCCACCTGGATGTCTCTAAGGAACCTCAAATGTCCAAACCAAGAACTCTCGATAATCACTCACCCCACTTCACTACTCTCCAATTCTGCCTGATCTTAGCAAATGGCACCACCAACCAACCAGTTGTTCAAACCAAAATTCCTGGAATCATTCTTGAATTCTTCCTTTACCTCACACTCCAGATCGAATTAATCAATTTGTCCTGTCAGCACTATTTTCCAAATGCTTCTCTGCAGTAGATGCTGTGGTGCATCGCCCACATTCTCAGGACTGACAGTAGCTGGGAGTACTGGTGACTGACAGTTCTCAGTTGAGCTCCTCCTTCATGCTTCTCTAGGCTGAAAAGACTCACCTTGCCTAAAGTCACTCCCTGGAGGCAGCCAATGTTCAATAAGTAGGGGAGGGGGCATAAGAGACAGGGGTAGGTAATAAAGCCCTGGCGCTCTTGCCTCAAGGAAGAACAACTCTTAAAGAACTACCCCAGATGCAAAGCTCCTTTTGAATTGTCTGAAGCTTCTGTTGCAATTCTATCACAGCTCAACTTCCCCCTCTGTCCAATCCTGCTGTCCAATCCTGATATAGTGACAGAAAATAAGTGGTTTTCTTCCAAGTGGCAGGTTGGAGATGATACCTTTTGAGAATGAGATACCATTCTCTAAGACATAGTGTATACCTTAAATCAGTACTCATGCTAATATACCTATATCCCTACCATTCTTCTCTGATTCCTACCCTACTCTCTCAGGTTTCTTCTCTGATATCCCTTCTCAAGTAAGCAGGAGCCAGAGATACTTGATAGGCTGAGGTCCAGTGTCGTGGAGTTCTGGACTAAGTAGAAGGAAGTAAAGCAGAGCAGGAAGACAGAGGTATGAGATAAAGAGATAATAATCAAATCCGAGCAATTGGTTCTGGAGCACAGACCCTTAAGGAATTTCCTGACCCATGGGAATATTCTGGACTTCTAACACACATCTCACCAGAGAGCTGAAACAAGTGGGGAGATCATCTGAGGACTGGTTAGCACTAATAGAGGGGAAACATGATTGTTTTCTCTTGGTATTTTGAAACTTTCACCTAACCAGTATTTAAATAATCAAGACTGGTCCAGAGAAGGAAGACATCCCTAATCTAGGCAAGGCACTAAATCAGTCAGCTGAAGCGTAAACCCACGGATCTAGGTCTGATTTCCCCCCAAGACATTTGGTGTCAATTTAAGAATGAGAAGAGGGACGCCCGGATGGTTCAGTCGGTTAAGCAACGCAACGCTGGGATTCTCTCTCTCCCTCTCTCTCTGCCCCGGCCTCACAAAATAAATAAACTTTAAGACAAAGAGAGAGCAGCTCTGGGGACCTATCTGCTCTTGTCTTTTATGCAAGACCCTGAAGCGTGAACCTAGGCTGTGAACATCTTGGGAAAGGAGAAAGTCTCTTCTACGAATTCACAAAGGCTAACACAGCCCCTGAAATTCTGTGCGGGTAAGTAAATGTTGAGTCACTAGACACCCACTCAGCATCTCCCAAAAAGTCCAGGAGAAGGCTCTGGTCATTGTGGAAAGTGACTGTTGTAAGGAGGCCGAGAACGTGTTTAGCTGGGCTGGGCTCCGTTATTCTGCGTTGCGGGTGAGAGGGGGCGCTCACGGAAGAGAATCCCACCCTTCCAACATGGTTCTTGGAAAGAAGCTTTGCAAAGAGCAAGTGTGACTTTAATCTCCGCCCAACGTCTCCCACACTCCCGGTGCCACGTTCCCTTGGTCACTCACCTCCTCCGAGTTCTGGCCGGACGATAAGCCCCAGTTTTTCAGCCCCTCCTGGAGCTCGACGATGTCCACCAACCCGTCCCCGTCGCTGTCCAGGTCTTGGAAAAGGATCTCGTACCTTAAGTCATCTTCGTCTTTCTGGCAGGCCACCCCCGGCAGCACGAAGCCCCGAAGCCAGCGCAGCATGGCCCGGGCGGGAAGGCGGGGGCCGTTCGGCCGCCTCTCCTCCTGGCCGGATGAGGGCGACC